CGTCAGTGCTTAGTCTGACAGGGCATGGACAAAAGCCAATGAAAAACCAGTGGAGGGGGGAGGAGGGGAGAAGTCATAGATGAATGGAAAAAAATCTGCAGTTTAAGTAATATTTATAGGACAAGGAATTGACAGACAAAACTGATACCATTTTTGATATGTAGAAATGATAGAGACTCTCAAAAGGGCTAAATGGCTCAGTCAAAAGTGCCAAGAGTCATTACAGAATATTTCTGAATAGGGTCAAAAGAAAGGTTCTGTTGCCATACATATATAGCCATGCATAGATACATCCAAGAGCAAGAAATAGTGACCAACCTTGCCTGGGAGAACAGAAGGGTTGGAAAGACATAGGGAGCAGGGCACATGTGCAGTCATGTGCAGGTTCTCACCCAGAAACTGAAGATGTCTTTAAATACCTTTTATTCACATGTGACATTGCTGTCCTTTGTCCTGCTTTGCATCAGAAATGGGAATAGATGGACCAAAGACTTCTAATCATGATTCCAGGCTGGAAAAAAAATTTTTGAAAGTGAGAAGTTTAGTTACTTTGCTCCTAGAAAGAAAGACAAGTGAGCATTTTTGCACAGTGCCTACAGTCACTTCAGGATGTTGGTCTAGATGGCAGTTTAGTCAGGCTGATAAAGGCATACGGGGATTCTCTGAGGAGATAGGGAAGCTGGAGGCTATGTGAGATTTGGTACTTGGTGTCCAGCACCTAAAACAGTATCCAACCTGGCATCTAAAATACTGGAGATTGCAGAGGTGACAAACCACCTGTTTTTTTCCCCCTGCTGTCCCAGGACTCGGACCAAGGTCAACAAAAGTTTCACACTTGTTTGTTAGAGGTTTGGGCAATGTCAAAAGAGGGCTTTGAGGCCTGCAATGGCAGAGATGTGTCCCCTACTACATGTGGTATTTCTCACTTAGCAACCTTGAATTTCATCCAGCCTTTTAATAACCCAGTTACTTGGTCACAAGATCCTTCCACACCTTTCCACAGGCTCATTCAGGGCTGAATGTTTTGGGTCATTTTGCATAATCAACACACCTTGGCACCCTGTGCTCCAAATTGTTCTGAAGGTGTTGATTGGTGGGCCAGGTGGCCTCAGATGCTGGCTACTCACGTCCCTCAGTTGCCACCAGCCTTGCCTCAAGTTTTCAACTTGGAGAGGGTGGTCTTCCCTATCCTCAGGCAGTTCTTTGAAAGGTTTTGCCAGCCTGTTTTTTCCTGAATTCCATTTCATCACAGGGCTATGGAGGTGAGCAGTGAATAACTTGCAGCACAGTTACCTGTTCATCCATTTCATGCTGGAGACCACCTGGGTCTCACATTGGTTTGCTGCCCTTCATGTGTCACAGACACGTTCTCAAGTCCTGCTGCTTCAGTTTTCAGTGGTGGCTTCATCTCATCCCTGCCAAGGAAAGTCTCCTGTCTAGCAACACCTTAAAGCTCCTCTTATGGCAAAACATCAATTTTACTTTTCATTCATGGACTTAAGCTTCCCTAATCACTCCCACACCATCTTAGGGCTTTTTGGCAGCTTCCTTATCTCCAAGATGCATTTGAAAGAGGTTTTCAGCCTTCCTTTTCTATTTGTCAAGAATCTCCTTTTTTTTTCCTCTTTCCCTTTAGGTTACTAAGTTTCATTTACTAGTATTTATGAGTTTTTCTTTTATTTTCATTTGACTATTGCTTCTACTTTTTGACAGCTGCCTTTTCAAATCTTACACTGTGAAGTGTAACCCCGCACTACTGTTCCTTCTAAGGAACACCTAATTAACTCCCTCAAGAAGATGATATTTCTGTAGTAAGGTAATATATGGAGGTAAGTCAGCTGTCCTAGAGTAAAAGATTACATTCAGCTCAGAAGAGTAAGAAACAAATTACTTGTTTTTGCCCAAAAGTAGGCAGCTTGGTTTTGATGAAATATAAGTACTTCTGAGGCCTGCAGGGGTATTTGCATACCCTAAGTCCTGAACCTGAATTTTGTGAATGGCATCAGTTATGAAGGAGGTTGTAGCATTATCCTTTAAGATGTTTGTGTTTTGTAACTGTATTGTAAGTATTTCAGAGACCTGTATCTCCTCTTCCTTGCCCTGGTCTTGTCAATTGTTTTGCTCAAAGACTTGAGTTACTTCAGAAGTGGATACAGGATGTTTTAAATGCCCAAGACATTTTTTTTACTGTGCTTACAATGTCAACATTGTGTTATGTTTTGGAGTGATTTTTCAATCACATTTTTCACATCTGCTCAAGCTGGTTTTCAGTACATGGCATCTTCCTTAATGCTGAAGTTTCATGCTGACATCTCAACATGAAGGTGGTCTGAGGACCTTTCTGGGGGAAGCAATGGTTGTGTAGTAGTCTGTGCAAATGCCAAGGAAGTATAAAATAATTTCTCTAACTATTCAAAGCTACTATAAAACCAAAGCTTTCTGTAATACCACTGCTAATTACACTTAGCTGTCTTTAAAAAAGGAGAATAAAACATAGAGCTTACCACCCCTAGAAATGGTTGGCTGCCCATCAGAGAAGCTGTCTCTTGGGTCAGCCAGAGAGCTTTCCCAGGTGCATCCCTCTCCTACAATGGCTCTGCACACTAAGTCCTGGGGCCTGGCCAGCCAAAGAAGGTGGAGTCGACCTTTTAGCCAGGATCAGTGTCTTTCTGTACCTTCCCCTTGCAAGGTGCTCACAAACCAGGATGGATTCTGGCTTGTAGTGGCTGCTCTTGGAGCTGGTTTGTCCCAGCAAAGTGGCACAATCGCTTTTCACTCCCTTGCTGAACGAGAGGCTCTTTATGTCTGCCTGAGTACCTGCCTTGCCTGACCAAGCATTTCTATCTGCTTTCCTCAGAAACGCTGTCAGAACAAACCTAGAGCTCCCCTCTAGGTGGGGGAAAACTCTCCAGAGACAGAAGCAGCTGCCACAGCAGATCTCCCATCTTTATCTCAATGCCATGCACAGTCATGTATGTCAATTTTGCAAACTGATGAAAAAAAAAAAAATTACATGGGAGTTTTTTTAGGTCAGGGTTGCAGTTCTCAGACAGGCTGGCCCCGGAATTTTTCCATCTGTCTAGAGGGGCCTTGCTGTGGTGCCATCTGCAGGCACAGTGTCTGGATGCAAAACAAGGATTTGGAAGAGGTGTGCATTTTAGGGAGGTTATATTAGAGAGGAAACCAAGCCCTCCAGGCAGTCCAAAAGCTGCAGGACTAGTTTGCCACATTCACTCTCCCTGTTTCCATACAGGCCCAACCGTGTTTTAAAGGCTGTGATTCCTGACTTGCCTTTTCTCAGTACAATATAATTTTTCTAGGAGAGATAAGATTGTAAACCAGTTGAAATAGCATTTTAAAACAGAGTGAGCCTTTATTCAAGACATTCCCAGCAGCTGTTGGTCTGAGAACACATACTCTTCCTCTACCCCAGAGCTGTCTGACTTTGCTCATTCCCAGAACAATTTGATCTCAGGTTGGATAGGCCTCACACTTGTTAAATGACAAGATTTCTTTGCTCTACCAATTTTCAGGTAGCCTTATCTCACTTAGGAAACATAAGGCTTTTTAAGAGAAAAAGCTGGCTTGTAGAAACGTTCCAGCTTTTAACCCAGTTCAAAATATGTTTTAAGTGGGAAAACAGGACATCCATCCTTTCCCCCCTTGAGGTGTTTCCATAGCCTCTCTGCACTTCCAGATTATCAAGTGAGGCACTGACTGGCACACACACAATACACAGGCAGCAGCACACAGCACAGCCATTCAAAGCACCCAGGCACAGCAATCAAGGACAGGATGGGACCAACCAGACTCATTTGTAATTCTTGACAGGTCTCCAGGCTACCCAGCCTCCCCCAGCAGAAACCCAGCTCCATGGGAGGGCTGCCTCCAGTGAGCTCCAGTACCAGGCAGCTCCCACTTGACACCAGAGTTACGTAAAGCTCCAATGATGGGGCCATTTGTGGTGTAATCCAAGTATTTCTGCTGTCCCAGGGCTAACAAGCTGCTCAGAATCCCAGTTCCTATCCAGAGGCAGGTTATTAAACCTCCTTCTCTTTGCAATATAACTTTGAGTCATCGCCCTCTAGTTCAGCAAACATTTAGTTCTTATGCAGCCCAACTGCTGGGGTTAAGCAACTCTGGGAAACCATGTCCAGCATACCTTGATCTTGAGAGTTTAAGTCCTCCAGCTTACCTCCTTGCAGCATCCAAATCAGGATCGAAAGCAGTTGAGGTCCGGACAACAGCTCCAACCGTGCCTGCCAGGGAGAGAACACATCAGCCATGAGATGCTAAATTAAGCTGCTAAAAATGGAAGGCCACGTGATTTTGTGCAGTGCATCACTTATCTGTCCTGGTGTTTACAGGTCATGGAAGGCTCCATCCCTGCCCGGCAGTATTCATGCTTCCAGGACTAATGCAGGGAGGCAGAGGGCTGACACTCACCTTGCAGAGATTTGCTGCTCAGCAGCTTAACTGCAACTGCCCCTCCTTACGCGCAGAGTTAAGCCAGAATTAAGACTGGCAACCACCATGCTGTCAATGGCCTCCGACACGTTCCTAGGCAGCCATTTCCTCTGGGGCAAAGCCAATTCAATTTAAAAGGTAAAAGCAAGCGAAATACCCTCCTTGTAACACCAGAAGTATCTGCCTTGTCCCTCACTGAGGCAGGGGAAGGAGAATTTGTTTCTTCTGCCCCTTTATCAAACCAAATGCAAGAGTCATCTGCTCAGCACTTTTACTCTGCATATGCACATCAGACAAGCAAATCCAGGTGGAGCCACATCCTACCGTGCAGGAGTCTGGCTGTAGACTGCACCACACTTAGTTTTGGCTCACAGCCGGAAGTTTGGGCTCTCCCATGTGGAACAAGCAGCTCAGCAGGCTGCACTCCCCAGCTCCTCACCGCAGCTGGCAGAGACTGTGCCATAAGCACTTGCAGCTGCTCATTACGTACAAGCAACCTTCCTCCCATCCACCCCCTGACAGACAGACAAGGCTTTTCAGATGGTGATCACTTTTATTGATGTAAGGTGGTACACAAACAGATCAGTTTCTATCAGCCTCTCCACCTCCCCCAGGTTCGGGGAGAAGTTGGAGGAGTGGGGGAGACAAGGGAACAGAACTGGCCTCTCACTGCAGGATGCAGAGCTAAGCGGTGGTGAACAAGGGCAGGGGCTCCAACAAAGGAGAGTCCTGCTTCCCTAGGCAGCAGGGGGGGCTGTGTGCTCAGCTTACTCCTTGGATGCCATATGGACCATCAAGTCCACAACACGGTTGCTGTATCCATATTCATTATCATACCTGGGGACAGAAAACAAAGCACTGTCAGGGCTGACCCATTTCTTGCACCCCTTCTTCCATGCTTCCTGCTCCTCTGCCCCATCCCACACAACTGAACTCCCATCTACCCTCCAGGGGAAAGGAGGCAGCTATAGTAATTTCAGATAAGAAGCAAATCTCATTCCACAGTGAGACTGGAGGTCTGTGCATCCACCTGGATCACCAGTGGTAACCAAGAGGAACCCAAGTCTGTAACTTGTCTGTGCCAATCTCCCAGGCCCCCACGGCTGCACCTACCAGGAAACCAGCTTGACAAAATGGTCGTTCAGTGCAATGCCAGCACCCGCATCAAAGGTCGAGGAATGGCTGTCACCATTGAAATCACAGGAAACAACCTGAAACACACAAGAAATTTTAACACATATGGTCACCCACAGTCTGTACTCCAAGTGCCCAAACCAGGATCCTGGAGAAGCTTCTGCAAAGTCTTTTAGAAAAATAAGGCAAGTGACAATAACCACAGGCCAAGAGAGCAGATGTTCCTTACCTGGTCCTCTGTGTATGCCAGGATACCCTTCAGGGGCCCATCAGCAGCAGCCTTCACTACCCTCTTGATGTCATCATACTTGGCCTGAGGAGAGACGAACAAAGATGCTTAGATCCCAATTCACACAAAATGTCCACCGGGGACAGGAGAGGAAGAAGACACACATGCACCGAGCAAGTGCTCTCTTCACAAAGATTACATCTTCAGGACAAGATGGATGCAGAGAGGGCAATTCCAGGTGCAATACAGAGCTTAGAGGAAGCACATCTGGAAGCTGTTAGGACCTCATCCACAACACTTACTGGTTTTTCCAGACGGCAGGTCAGGTCCACAACAGAGACATTAGGGGTTGGCACACGGAAAGCCATTCCAGTAAGTTTCCTGTGAGAGATTTGAGTCAGCAAGGAACAGCATCTCGCACTCCTCTGCCAGCCTAGGAATGTTCTGCCTCCTCCTGACACCTGAGAAGGGGCAACACTCACCCATTGAGCTCAGGAATGACTTTTCCCACAGCCTTAGCAGCTCCAGTAGACGCTGGAATAATGTTTTGAGCAGCACCTCTGCCATCTCTCCAGAGCTTTCCAGAGGGCCCATCCACTGTCTTCTGTGTGGCTGTGATGGCATGGACAGTGGTCTGAAGAAAGAGCACGGGAGTAAGAGCACAGCCAATACTCTCTAGAAGGAGTATCCCAGGTGACACAGGGAATACAGATGCTTTCCCTCTCACACGAGGGGATCTGTGGTAGGTCACCCTCCTCAGCACCAAGCCGCAGACCTACCATGAGACCCTCCACGATGCCAAAGTTGTCATGGATGACCTTGGCCAAGGGTGCCAGGCAGTTAGTAGTGCAGGAAGCATTGCTGAGGTAGAGAGATAAACGCACATCAGCCAGAGCCAACACTTCCACTGAGGTGAAGTGAGACCCCTGGCAGCTGGTGAGAGCTCCAGGCCAGAAAGCACGTTTCTCTCTCCTTACCTGACAATTTTCAGAGACTTGTCATACTTCTCATGGTTGACACCCATCACGAACATGGGAGCATCAGCAGAGGGGGCAGAGATGATCACACGCTTGGCACCACCCTTCAGGTGAGCCTGAAGGGAGAGAGAGATTACATAACTCAGGGTCCTTCCAAGCTTGCTTCTTCATATCTCTTCTCATTCGCAGCCCCATCTTGAGCAGCTCTGTATATGCTGACATGCCCTACAGGCAAAAGCGGCACTATCCCTCCTCTCCTGTGCCTCTGTGGCATACTCACCCCAGCCTTCTCCATGGTGGTGAAGACACCAGTGGACTCCACAACATATTCAGCACCAGCATCTGCCCACTTGATGTTGCTGGGGTCACGCCTACGGAGGGACAAAATTTTAAGAGCTGCTCCATAAAACACCTGCTTTCAGTCTCCAGAGGGGCAATAGGGAAAAAGATACTTACTCCTGGAAGATGGTGATAGCATTCCCATTAATCACAAGTTTCCCATTCTCAGCCTTGACAGTGCCCCGGAAGTGGCCATGAGTAGAGTCATATTTGAACATATAAACCTAATAAAGAAAGTGGGAGTGGAAGGTCAGGCACCCAGGCTGCCATCATCCTCTAACACTCTGGGAAGTTACTAGAACAGATCCAGAGGAGCCCTACTCTGAAAGGCCCAGAGGGGGCACTGCAAAGCAACTCACCATGTAGTTCAAATCAATGAAGGGATCGTTGATAGCCACCACTTGGACTTTGCCAGAGAGGACAGCAGCCCGGGTGACCAGGCGGCCGATGCGGCCAAATCTGGAGAGATAAAGGCATGGGGTGAGGAGGCACAAGAGGGAATCAGCCCAGCTGGGCATGAGAGGCAGTACTTGGCAGCCTTCCCTCGGGATCATCCGCTACTCCCTGCCCGGTGGGTGGGATGGAGCCTTGCAGCTCGTCCAAAGGCCAAGGCACCCCGGTTAAAGATTAAGAGCGACCCCCACCCCGGAAAGGTCAATCGCTAAATTTACAGAGAGCCCCGGGGATCCGGTTACTCCTCGGCCCGGCACGAGAAGGTCACATCCCTGGGGCCGCCATCGACACACGATCCACCTGGAGACCTTTTGGTGGGGGGCTGCAGGGATCCCCGGGAATGGGGAGGGAAACTGGGGCAGCCGGGCAACGGTAGCCCTTTCCGGAGTGAGTCACCCCGAATCCGAAGAGAAATGAGTCAGCAGCACTGCTCTGCCCCAGGGGCGCTGGCGGAGCGGGACCGGCAGGATTCAACCTCTCCCTCCCCCCAAATCTTGCCCCGCGCCCTTGAGGCGACCTTGTCCTCCCTGCCCCCAATCTCCGCCAGCCCCAGCACTCACCCATTGACTCCGACTTTCACCATCTTTGCCGCTTCGGGATGTTCCTGCGGGCAGAAACCACCGGTAGGGGCATTAGGGGAACCGGCAACAACCGCCCCCGCACCCACCGCCGTTAACGTTTTGCCCGCGCCGAGGGACGAAGGGGGGCGGGCAATGGGGGGAGGGGGTTCGCGGAGAGCAGGCTAGGGGGGGCGCGCGGTCTGGGCTGGCCCCACCCCCCCGGGCAATCACTCCCCCGCCCCGGGCGATTAACCCGCCTCGCCCCCCCGCGACAATTATTCGCCCCCTCCTCCGGCGACCATCCTCCCCTCAGACCCCTATCCCTCCTCACCTCACTGCCCCCCTCACGCCGCCCCCGCCATTTTGCGCCGCACCGCCTTTGTGCCCGTGGGCCCCGCCGCCACGCGGCCCCGCTCCGCCCGGGGGCTGCCGCACCCCCTGCCGGTGGGCGGCGTGTGTGTGTGGGGAGAGGGCTCTCACACGCCCACCGCCTCTCTCTCCCCCCGCATCTCCCCCGCCCCGCCCGTTACCTGCTGCCTCCGAACCGCCCGGCGCTCAGTGAGGAGGTGGCGCAGCGCCTCTCCGCCGCCCTTTATAGCCGCGTGAGGGTAGGGCGGGGGCCCGCCCCGCCGCGTCGCCGTCGAATGGCAGCGCGGGGGCCGGACAGGGCTACGTGCGCCCGTGTTGCGGGTGCGGCAGACGAAGACCCCCCCTGTTTCCCCCGCCCCACCGCCCCCTGTTAACAAAGGCCCCGCGCCGGGAATGGAGGGTCCGTAGCGATCACTCTCTCGTCGAGCCACCCCGAGGGGGTTGGTGGTGCTGGTGGCGGTGGTAAAAGATGCACCGGCCCTTGCGGGGAGGTGTCCCCAGGGCGGGGATGGGCGGCTGCGCCCCTGCCCGAGGAGGCGGGGAGGGGCCCCCGGGTGATAGCCGGTCAGGGGCTGCTCCCGCCGGGCTCGCTGCCGCTCCGGAGGATGGTGTGCGCTGCTTTCATCTGGTGACAAAGGGCAGGTGGCCGCCCGCCCCGGTCGCAGCCTGTGCCCCTTTGAATGGAGTAGTATCCAGTATCCGAAGGGACCTACAGGGAAGCCGGAAAGGGACTCTTCGTCAGGAGCTGTAGTGATTTATCAAGGAGTAATGGGTACAGATTGAAAGGGGGGAAATTTAGGATGGGTATTAGGAAGAAGCTCTTTACTGTGAGGGTGATGAGGCACAGTACACGTTGCCCAGGGAGGCTGTGGATGCCCCAACCATGGCAGTGTTCCAAGCCAGGTTGAATAAGGCCTTGAGCAACTTGCTCTAGTGGGAGGCGTCCGTGCACGTGGCAAGGGGGTTGGAACTGGATAATCTTTACGGTCTATTCCAACCCCTTAACTTTCTATGATTCTAAGGTTGCAAGGGTAAAGAGACTGCAGGGATGCTGGGGTCATCCCAAGGGAGCAGCGGGCCTCCAGGCATCCCCCATTCCCCCCGGGACGGGAGGCACTAGCTGGGAGTACTCCCTCCTCCAGGCTGGGGACCCCCCCTTCTCTGGGTGGGTTTATCCAGACGTGTCTGAAAGGGGCCCCTGGCCGGGCCCTGCCTCAGCAGGCCGCGGGCGGCAGCGTGAGCACCATCTTAATGAGGCACTGCGGCACTGCTGCCGCTGCCCGCGGGACGTGACGGCGGAAATCCTGCTCGTCTGCCGCCTCGGCCCGCCTTCCCTGGCTGCCTGCGAGGAGGAAGCGCTCCTGGCATGGCCGCTGCCCGGCTCCCCGCCCCCCATGCTCACCGAGCCCTGCCGCCTCCATCCCCCGGCTCCGTGCGGGGCAGGTGCGGCGGTACAAACCCGCTTTAGGTACAACGCCCAAAGCACGCACAAATCCCAAATCTCCCATCCCGGAGGAAGGTGTGGGAACAGTGGGGATGCAAATCTGTACTGACAGAGAGGGTGGGGGTGGTGGGAGCTGGAATGTCCCTCTGGCTGCTCGGGTGAGCAGAGCTTTGAGGATAAGGGAGGGGTTGGGCAGGCTCGCGGAACCATGCAGGTACTGGGATGGGGGACCAGAGAGGGGTCATGCAGCTCAAACGTAACCCTACTCTCCTTATACCACTGCTATTCCCGGTGCTGCTGAGGGGCTGGTGGCTAAGTTTAGACCCAGCTGAGGTTACAACCTTTTCTTAAAGGCCAGGACATGGTGATGGCTCGCGGGGCACAGCAGCAGGGCTACGAACTCGTGCCAGGGTCGGTGGTGCCCCAGCCGCAGCCCACCGAGGCAGGCTTTCGGGGGGAAGCTTCAGCGCAAACCGGAGGCCCCAGTGTTTGCTGTTGCGGGGGCAGAGTGCGGCCGGGGTGAGCCAGCGCGGCCCTTGTGCCCCCTGCCCGGTCGATACCTCGCCCGCGTCGGCCCCCCCCGGCCGCACCGCGCCGCAGCCGTGCGTGCCGCACGCCCCACGCGGAATGGCGGCGGCGGCGGCAGGGCCCGGCACGGCCCCGCGCGTGGGGCCGGGGCCGCCGGGCTGGCTCTGCCACCTCCCGCCCGCCTCGCGGCCGGGGGCAGCCACCGCCGAGCGCGGACGCGGCAGATTAGGACAGCTTGTTTAATGAACGAGTCCTCAGGCATAGGGAGTAGGGAGGGGGCTGCTGGTGGAGCGGGGCTTCAGCGGCCACGGGGAGCAGCTGCGGAGCCGGACAGCTCCTTCTCGTACCGCCGCGCCGCTTCCTCACTGCCGCAGCCTCCCTTTTTCGGGGCGGGAGCTTCAGAGCTTCGTGCTGCGGTGCGCCGTGCTGGTTGCCGAGCCAGTGGCGGTTCCCGAGCCGTACAGGTTCCCGAGTCTGGGTGCCCTCCGGCTGCAGAGAAGCGGGCCTGGTGAGCCGCCCAGCGGCGTCCCGCCCGCCTGCTTTCGCCCCGGCCGGGCCCCAGCCGGCAGCACGGGGCGTCCCCAGTCCCGGCCTTTGACCCGGCGGCTGGCAGGCGGTGGCCCCACATCCTGCCCCGCTGCCCCATCCCCTCGCTGTCTGTGCGCTCAACTCTGCCCTGAACTTCTTCCCTACCCAGGTGCTCGAGCCCACACTCTTGGCCCTCTCACCTCGGAGACCCTCCAAAGCTAACACCCCAAACCACTGAAGGTCCCGATTCGGTCAAGTTTCAGCCCGAAGCAACCCCTGGGCATGGCCTTCCAGGCCCAATCTCCAGGCAGTGCCCACTTGCGACTGGCGAGGTTCTTGCGCCAGAGGGATGGACGGGCAGCTCTAGCCACAGATGGGATGAAGGGGAGAGTGGAGGAGAGCAGCTGAGGATCAAAGCTGGACCCCTCCTTCGTGTCCGCTTCAGTCAGCGTGGGCTCGGGCTCCAGAGGCAGCAATTGTGAAAGGAGCATCTGGGATAAATGGAGGAGAGCAGGGTGATGCCTGTGCTTCTGTCGATAAGCCTTGTACCCCCTGGTTCCCTACTGCCCATTCCCTCCTGAGGGCTCAGGCAGGACATTAAAGTGATGCCTGCTCATAGCACTCACTGTGACTGTGACATTGCATCCAGACATGGGGAAGGGCTTGACCAGCAGCTCCCACTGTCTGAAATGACTTTGCTGTACAAAACAGCAGGAAGACAGCTGCTGTGAGCTGTGCCTGCAGGCAGATTGCCCTGCTCTTGTAAAACCATACACACATCCTGCTCTGCCCTAGATTTGGAAGGGAACTCTTCAGTCCTTGCTCCTTTTGTGGATGCTGAGCACCTCTATGTGCTCAGGCTGCTGTGTACCTTTCATTTTTCCAGAGAGCTGCTGGGAAGGATGGTCCTGCCTCAAATATCTGCTGAAAAAAATGAGGGAGAGGCAGGAGCAAAGCAGGTGTGAGGAAAGGGGACTCCCCATCTGCTGGAAATCTTCTAGGTTAGCTGTACTGCCTGTACATTCTCAACACTGCTGGGAGACAAGGGTTGGGGGCTGTGTTGGGTGCAATGGAGGCATGGCATTGCTGCCCAGAGAAGCACCCTATGGGAGCTGTTCCACATCTGTCTCTCACATGGATGCTGAGCTAAGGCTGAGGATGCCTTTGTGCAGCTCTTTGTGGTAGCAAGTTAACTGAAGTGGACACAGGCATCCTCAGCGAGGAGTGAAAGTGGTGAGTCATAGCAGGATCAGTCTTGTGATTTTAGTTCATGTCCTCACTATTTCCCTGTGGCTTTCCCAGGGTGATGTAAAGGCAAGGTGCTGGGGCTCAGGTTAGGGTTTGGGTAAGAGGGAGCTGGCTAGATTTGAAATCCAAAAATATTATTGCTGTAATTGCTGAGGATAAAAGATTTCCTCAGGCGATGAAGCCCTTAGCTGGCATCCTGACATTGCTCTTGGCCTTAAAAAGGTCTTTAAGGGGGTAGTACTGAGCTTAGGAGCAAAACTCCTGGCCTAACAGGATGCATCTCCCCTCTGAAACATCAGAACCAGGCACTGAACATTATGACTGTAATATCAGGTGGCTGCTGACACAGAGTGGGCTTAGGAAGGACTAGGCTCTTCACCGTTAAAAGCTTTTTGCAGAGCACTAAAAGGCTTTTATCTGTTTCCTGACTTGAAAAGCTGGTGCTCCTTAAGGGCTAGAGCTGAGGCTGTTGAAGCGGAGAGTGCAACAAGGATAGACAGCAGCCTCCTTGCAGTTGGAATTTGGAACCACCTCTCATTGGAGGTTCAAACACAACCTCCCCTCCTCCTTCCCTCCTGAAATCAAACTCAGCTCTCTCCCACTCCCTCCTACCTGTAGCCTCTGTCCTGGTAAAGACACAGCCTGAACGCTGGCAGAGAGCAGAACCAAGAAGAGGAAAAATGAGCAAGGCCATGACTGAAGCCCCAGCATTTTCTTCTTAGCCCAGGGCTGGTGGGAGGCAAGGCAGGACTCGCAGCATCCGTGTTGAATGTGGTCCCTAGCCCCTCTCTGCCTTTATAGCTTTGGTTCTGGCAGGCGACTGGCCCCAGTTCCCTGCTGAACCACCCCCTGGAGCTCCTTAACCTTTCAGCCCTTTTGTCCAGGGTGATATATTTCAGGGTGAGCTCAGCAAGACCCCTTCCTCTAAAGAAAAAGGACACAAAGGTGTTTACTGAGTGTCTGGGAAGACAAATGTGAGTTGAGCTGCTGCTGGCCAGGACCTGGAGGTGTCTGTCAAGGTCAGGGACAGGGTGACACTTTGAAACATGTCCTAAAAGGAGGATATTGAAGGCTGCATTGTGTAGGAGTATTGAACATAGTCCTCATAGGCAGAGTGCTGTTAATGCTATTTCTCTAATCAGTGTGAGCATGAACTACAGCTGTTAGAGGTAGGCACACTGCTGGCTGCGCAGAGCAGACACGAATTCAGCTCTGTGACAACATAGGCTTTTGTTTTTAATATTTATATCTTGGTGAGACAGTTGGGCAGGGAATGAAGAGCTCCTGCTGCAGAAGGTGGGTGAATTCCAGTACTATACAGAATTTGTAGCAGTGACAGGAGCATGGGTCTAGTACTATTGGGCATATAATTTGTGGTCTGTCTGTCCCAAGTCACCATCTGGAGGACTGGGCTGAGTTTCCAGAGGAACCGTCACAGAAAAGAGCTTGTCGAGACTCAGCTTGCACTTTCTCAAGCTCGGGCACACAATGGGAGCAGGATAGCAAGGAGCAGATTCCTACCTCCTAAATCTTCTGGCCATTAGTTCCCCCCACTTTGTTTACCCCTTCCATTTTACTGTAGTTTCTCACCAGCTGAACAAGGCAATGAGGTCACTGTCTGGAGATCAGGGTGCAGAAGTCAGCCTGGGTGTGAAGACAGAAACTAATCAGGAAAGTTTGTCAGGGGAGAGGAATGGGGAGACTGTACCCCAGTACAGGATTAGCAGTGGGTGTGCTGGGAGAGTTTAACAATACCCTGAACTTCCCTTTGTTCACTACTGTTGCATAAAACAGTCGGGTCAGAACTTGACAGGATGTGTTCTGCTGCCTCCTTTTGTTTATTTTTTTCAAAGAAAGAAGAAAATTAGAAAAAAGTCTTCTCCATAGATAACAAAAATCACAGTTCAGATATTTGCTCTGTCTCTCTTTCCCTCCTTCCCTCCTTCCCTCCCTTTCTTCCTTCCAGGCATTTTGCACTTGCAGAGGCTGGTTTGTGAGTCCATTTCTTCTCTGCCCAAGGAGACAGAAAGTTTTATGAACATTTTGCATTCAGTCCTTGAGAAGTCAGTATGTGCCTTCTGTCCAGAGCACTGGTGATGGAAGCAGTGCTTTGCACAGCTGTGAACATCCAGTTTTGTTGGCTCCAGCTGATGGCTGCAACCCACGGCTGGTGCTGTGTCCAGATCAATGTGATTCTCTAGTGATCTGTTTGGCATTCCTGTCACCCGGGGCCAGCATGTGGAGGTGCTCCCGAGGCCCCTCCGAGACATTTTGTGGGAAACATGATTTACTTTCATACCAACCTTTGAATCTACAAAGCACAGGGGACTGCTGTACAGTCACAGGACACGCACCCCACTGAATGGAGTGGCATTCAGATGGAGTGCCAGGGCACAAACGGGGTATGGGATGTGTGCGCACAGCCAACCCCTCCTTGTGCTGGATGCACTAATGTGAGGAGCCACGTGGTGTGAAAGTTTCAGGGGGATGCAAAAGAAAGGAAGGACAGGAAGTAAGCACATGTTCATGCTGCATGCAAGGTGTCCCAGAGGATGCAGTTCTGTACTCCCCAGTCACATGTGGCCATCCAGAAAGAGCTGAGTCAGTGTGCTCGAGAAGTCTTGCTGCCGGCAGGAGCAGCTCCGCTGGAACACACCGGCTACATGAGTCAGAGCCAGTTCTTTCCTGAGTGAAAAGCAAGTGCAAAAGCAACAATGCTTTCCTTTTGATTATGAAATGTAGCAGCAGTTTGATCTGGCATCCCTTGAATGGGGTGGCCCCCATACTGCAAGAAGAATGCCAGAAATGTATTTGCAACTGCTCCAAAATTCCAGTCCACTTGCACAAAGACTGAGCCCTGCAGGGGTAGTCAGGCTCTGAGAACTCAAATGCCAAGTGCTCTTCTTGGGTTCAGCAAGAGCTGAGGATGGCAAGAGGGAAAGAGCCATCACTCTCCTATATCAAGCAAGAAACTTCAGAGACTGCAGAAAATTTGCAAATTTTCTTGTAAGTTCTTGCAAATCCACCAAAGCCTGAATAAAATGCAGGTGCTCAGTGACTCAGGTGCCATGATGTTGATACTTCTCCATGTCCCAGATCCTTGCTGTGACTGCAGTAGAACTGAATAGTTACTCTGACATGTCCTGGCAATGACAGTGAAGTGAAAAAGGCTTTGGCAGACAAGTCCTCGATTGCCCTAGTTTTCTCAGACTCAAATAGGTTATTGTCCTTTTTTCCTCTCTGATGCTAACAAGTTTTCTTTATAAAAACCCTTCCCCCTTGTTTGCTGGGGCACTGACTCGAGAGCTTGCAAGACCAGAAAGGTGGTCTCCTGCTGAATCACAATCAGCCTTCTACAAAAAGTTGCTTATGTAGGAAAGGAGCAGGACAACTGGAGACTGGGAGATCTGGGAACTGAGCAAAGTACCCTGAGGGAACACCTCTTGGCCCAAGGTGATAGAAAGGGATGATGGTTGCTGCAGGCTCTAGAAGTGTACAATATTCACATTTTTCCACTGGTACCATTTGTAGGAGTTCAGAGCAACGATGGTCAGGAGTCCCTAGAGAATGGAAACACCATTGATTTTGGCACTAAGTAATCCCAGTGCCTCAGGAGCAAGGGAGTGGGATTATTCCTTCAGCAGTGATTTATGGTCATTGTGGCAGCCACCAAATAACGTTTGTGAGGAACAGAAGGGCAGCAAGTACCTAATTAAGGCTGTAGCCACTGTGTAACTGCCCAAACCCCTCTTGGGTTTTGTCTCATCTTTCTTCAGGACTTCCTTTGTCCTTGACACAGGATTGCTAATTCTTCCTGTATCAGGAGAGGACAGTGAGGAGGATGCTCCACCTGAACAACCTTCAGAAAGGGACCAATCAGAGCTCTCACTCACTGACTTCTCACTCTCACTTGCCCAGGCAGCACAGGGTTTGAGACTGAGCAAAGAACAGACTGCAAAGCAGTGAAGGAGCCAGCGTCAGTTCAGTCACTGATTACCAAACCATCCTTCCAGAAAGGTGACTGTGTGCACCTCCTGAAGGAAAAAGTTCAACCACTTTTAGTGGAAAACTATGGCCTGAAGGTGAGCCAATGCTTAAGAGTTTTACGGCTACCTCACTTCCTCTATCCACCCATACACATCTCCCCTGCTGCAGCATTGGCAACATATTATCTCACATCTACAAGATTTATTGCTTGTAAAACCTTGAGCCTGGGCAGACATCCATATATGCTGTCCTTTTCTTTTTTTATTCCCATCTGTGAGTGTCATACCCTGTAGGTGGTGACGGAATCATGTATGGTGTGCATGACTGTTGTATTTACCATCAGTGCTGTAGCTGCTACCTTTGCCTCCTGGAGCCTTCACTGAATATTTTATCAGAAAGGAAGGGAGAGGGACAATATTGCTGTAGCTTTCTGATCTTTGTATTTCACCTGATTATCCTGTGGTTAGCAGCGTGCTCTGGAGTTGGAGCACATCTATACTGGTATTTGGCTATTAGGCTGGTGGCAAGTGGGCAGGTATTTTCACTGAGTTGAGGGACTCAAGTGGGGTGTTTATAAATACACATGTCACCCTGTCATTCTCCCCTCTACTTGTTTCTGGAAGCATTTAACATGATTATGTCCATTCAGGTATCAGCATGAAAAACCATAGGCACTTCTTAATGACTACATTTTTAGTAGGGATCAAAATAAGCAACAGCAGCTACTTCTGCAGCCAGAGCAGAAGGGAGCTGAGCAGCATGCTCTACTTGCTGGGTAAACCCGGATGACCACAACTGCAAGAAGGTGGTAGAGCCTCAGAGACAGAGATTGCAGATTAGCAGGAACCAGTGGAGAGGACCACCCTTCCCATTCCTGCCCAGCTAGTGACTAGTCTGCTTTCTAGGCAGGTGACGAGGTAAGAGGAAATAATTCTGTAGTAAGAGCTCTGGGACAAATGCCAACTTGCCTCTAGACAGAAGGTTAAAGGTTTTTTTATGTGATTAGCACAAAATCTAATATAGGGCACTTCATGTTCACAGGGCAATTTAAGGAGTGCCAGGACTGACTTGAAAACTGATGTGGCACTTGTGAAAGGAAAAAAACTTAAGTGCCAGTTTTACTTGAAACATAAATGGATTTGCAGCAAATACATTCCAGAAAACAGTAAGACAATCAAGGGTATAAGTATACTTAGTAATGTATCAAATTAGTATTATTAACAAGTTACTTCTAAAGTTTTAGTGGTGGATTGGTTTTGGGTCTTTTAGCTTTTAAAAGATGTATTTTTTCCTATGGACTATTGTTTATTGAAGTGCTCTAGTCTAAGTTAGCCTTTCTATATTTCTCCACTTCACTCCCTGAACATGTCTTCGATGAGATATGCACAAGAAAAAGAAGCAAGTACCTTCCCCTCAAAACCCTGCTTGACTATACAGGACAAGAGCTCCAAAAACGATGAAATATAAAAGGGCCTGAACACAGTACAACTGCATTGGTCCTGTGTTAAAAGGTGAATAGTGTAGTATAAAGCACATACAAAATGTGAAAGGGATGAACGTTTTGTACCCTGTGGGTAGTTAGACTCTTAGAAAGACTTTCTCCCAAAGGTAATTTTAATAAGAGCAGCTAATTCTCATCTACAAAGCCAGGGCAAAACAGTCCAAGTGGCAACTATGTTCATCATCACTGCCTTTATTTGTGGAGATATCAGAAGAAAGGGTTGGAATTACTTTAGCCTGGTGTTAACTTCCATTTTGTCCTCATTTAAAGCACTGTTGTATTATGGGGTAGTTCACACAAGAAAAGGCGACTGTTGCATAAAAGCAGTTTTATTTTTAGTTAAAGACAGTGGCAGATGGTTCCCTCAGTGCAGCCCGGGCTGAAGATCTGGTGATGGGAGTTGTTTTGGTGGGGGTTTCTTCCTCTCTTAATTCTGCTGATAGCTCTGAAGAGAGTAAAACGTGTCAATAATGAGCACTCCATGGCCTTGAGCAAAGAATTCTACAGGCAACCTCCACAGTGTCTGAAGCCCATG